TCTTGTGGTACACGCAGCACGTGCGTACGTGATGAGAGACGGCGTTCAAGATGGGTGCACTATTTAACATATTGCGCGTGCTCTTGCGTTTCGACGCCGCTTCCTCGTCTCTTCAGTGGCGTCGCGGAATCTCATCACAACATACTTATAAGGGGTGGTTCGTTACATAACGTGCATAATCTTCAAGTCAAATCACAGTTATGTAGTCTCTGGTAAAATTATATTTTACGCGACCAAGACTATCCATCGTATGGAGGGGAGGAGCTGCTCCAGCAGATAGACACACGGAGCAGCGCATGAAAAGGATTTTAGTAACTACTCATTGCGAAGGCACATAAAGAGCGGTTCCTGTTTAAAATATCGTTCAATGCGCTGAAGTCCCATGAAAGTGAATATATCCTGCAAAAATGTAACCTTATAACTTGTTTAGGATCGAACAATTTGTGCAGAAAACAAAATGTATGTGTAGTCGTTTTATGAGTTTATTAAAAACGTTTTTGTACAAGTTCTATATGAATGTCCTTATAGACGCCACCTTTTCTAAAATATTTGGCCCAACCACTTTTCATATTGAAAATATTTTAATTTTAGGCCATCTGTTTAACCAGTTGCGATCAGTAGGCACATGCACTATGCATATTTTCAGTATATCGAAATGCTGCCATAGAGGACCTCAAATGTGCGTTGTATGAAATTAAAAGTAGCTAGACTATTGGGAGCCTGTTTACTGAAATTGAGTTTGAACAGTTTCTGGAAAAGGTCCACCTGTCAACATCGACAGTGCTCAAACGCGAACAACCAAAGGGTGCGCTACCGTATCAGTGCAGCTGAGGCAGATAGAGGAAGCTATTTGCCACAAAGGCGCTTCGAGATTTTCCAGGGAAGAGGTCCTGTTTTGAAATAAGGGTAACCAACGCTATAGGTTAAGACGAAAGGAAAAACAGACACGGTGCTTGGATGTACAGGAGGTGTCGTATGCACTCCTTCTTTTTGTTGTAACTTTTCGCACAGTTTGTACTTGTTTCAGGATGACCCAATGAACCAGACAAATTTTTATGATGTTCTTGTGTCTTTGTCTCCTGATATAGGTAATTAATAAGATGACAATGTCTCCACGTGCTCTGCAAAAAATGCCAAGGTAATAATAGACACTCCTGAGACTTAAAATAGATATGGATTCTGTTATTTGCAGCTAAACCTGAAAAGAATCAAGTCTCAGTCACGACCACATGAAAAAGCGAAAAGAAAGGGCAGGGTAAGGGAGGAAGGACCCCCCTTTTTATTTTGAACCAGCCCTTCGCACTGTTATTCTGGCCCTGCTCGTACAACTTTTTGGCACTGTGAATAAGGAACAACCTCCTCATATTCTGTACTTTGCCTCGCGACGTCATCTACATAATCTTCTAACAAGTGTGCCGGAAGACTTCGAGTGGAGTAGTTGTTGAGGAGGACGTCCCATGAAACTTGTCCGACTTCAGTAAATTTATTTGGTCTGGTGTTAGCGCGTAGCCTCTCATTACCTAGCTAGCAATTCTCCATGTTTCTTAGTTTTTAATGCCTGCACTCGAAACATTTGCTCCATAAGCACCCCGATTGGTGATTTGTGCCAATTGAAAAGGGCTTGTCATAAACAATTGTATCGGGCCAGTTGGTAAGGATTCATCTTGCTAGGAAGCGCAGCCACTATTACAAAGAAGCACTTGTGTTGTGTGTTCTTTGTAATAGTGGCTGCGCTTCCTAGCAAGATGGCTTGTGATAGTTCAGCTGCCTGAAGTGCTTTGCCTGGTCGGACATCTTGATAGTGATTTACCACATACCTCGACTGATAAGGTGCACCTCGGTGACATTCGTCTTACTTTCGATGGTGACGGCATGGTGACGTCATCGACTTCTGGACTTCGGCTTGTTGCTCGTCTTCAGCTTTGTAGAACGCGGCATACGGTTGTCCCACAGCTGTCGTACAACCCCTACTTCTATCTACATCCTATCGAGCTACGCCAAATATAAAGGGGTCCCAGCCGGGCCAACTGTTTCTGTTGTTAACTATTTAACCCATTTGCTTGTTCAGTTCCTTGAAATGATGGCTTATGTCCACTCAGAAGAATTGGCCAAGAAAGCGTACTGTACTTTTTGTGTGAGCATTGCAACTATTTGTACGAATGAATTGGTAAATATAACTAATGAAAGGAAAACTACAGAATAAGAGAATAAATTGGAGGAAATAGAAAAGTCAATTTCAGAGAGTTTGAGATTTCAGGTGTGGAGATGACCACACAGCTGCGTTTACTTCCCCTTACCAATCAAAATTTATGTTAAAACACTTATCGTGAACAAAATAATAAATATTTGAATGGGGATTACAATAGGATACGCTTGGTTACCTGAATAAAATCGCAAACAGCATTGGAAGCATCCCTGTGGTAATGTCTCAAAACTGAGGCAGCAAAGCTCAACACAGTTCCCGCCGTCCATCTATCAACTATTTTCAGAAAGGGAATAAGTTAAAGTCTTATCCCAATATTGAACATCGGCGACAACATGAAAGATAATATTCGATTGATTCTATTTTTCCTCAGAGTGCACAGAGGGGTGATATCACCTGACGAGTTCTGTATAAATATAGGATGAGAGGGGGGACACGGCATCGAAATATATAATTAAATCTTCGACCTTTCTAGTCTGACTCCACTGGGGTCCCCATAGAAACGTGGGGTGGTTATATTCTCTCCATCTAGCTATTGTTTTGTATCATATCAATGCAGATTGCGGATTTTCTATATCTTATTGCGGTAATATATTCAACTTCTGGTAGTATCAATTATATTAGGCCATCGAGCGTGGCTCATCCTAAGAAATCGGCCAGTTCATTTATTCTTAATCAACAGTGACCTGAAGGCCAGAGTAACCTCAGCTGTCTCAACTGCGAGGGTACTAACGTTCGGAATGTCCTTATTGTTCGAAAGTTCTCAGAAGCTGTCAGAGCTGCACAAGCTGAAAGGGACGCTGTCATTATGACTCCGCTGTTCAAATTTGACGGAAATTTTCGATGCGCCAAAATAATCGCCACGAGCTTAGCTTCATATACTAGAGTGCAGTGAGGCAGTCGCACTGAGAAGCTCCAGTCAAGTAAATTAGAGGCAATGCCTACACCTACCTTTTGATTATTCACTGAAGCTTGTATGGATATTATATTATTTGTTTTTGCACGCACCAAGTAATCTATTACGATTTTATTTGAAACACATTACTTCCTTAGACTCATGGCTCACACTCACTCAGGGGGATAAGCCAAGAAATCGTAGTGCACATTTTTGAGAGCATTACAACTATTTGTAAGAATGAATTTGTATTTATTAATTATACAGAGAGAGAAATCAGAAAAAGAAAAGAAAATAAAAGAAATGAAAAGTCAATAAAAGAGATTTTGAGATTTCTAGACTTCAGATAACCGCATTGCTCTGTTTACGTCGCCTTACCATTAGGAATGAACATAGTTTTATGATACAATTTGATAAATATATGATGGCGGACCACAATGGCATACGTTTGAATGCCCGAATAAAATCGTGAACGGCATTGAAAGCATCCTTGTGGGAACGTCCCGAAACTGAGGCATCAAAGTTTAGTACAATTTTCTCCGCCAATTTAACACCTATCTTTAGAAAGGGAATAGCTAGAAGACTTTTTCAAGGGCAGTAACACTAGTATTCGTTTTTGATTCATTACGTGTAGATTAAAAGTTTACCAAAATTATCCTTGACATAGTTTACGTACTTTCCCGTATTGACATTTCATGTATATCATATATGATATGCAATGCATAATGTTACTTGTTGCACAATACTGCAACGGTCCTATAATAAGAATGCTTGTTTTGTAATTATCACCCATTTTTTCCTCTTTATTCTTCAATTCTTCAAGTAAGAATGTCTCCTTACAAATACTCTCTGTTCCTTTCAGTACCTTATTATCCTTGTCAATGGCTATCGCTGTAACCAGGGTTATGTATTTTGAAGGAAGGAAAGAAGTTAACGGTTAACGGCTCGTTTTCTACGTTAGACATTGATAAAAGTAGACGAAATAATACCAAGAGAAGCATAGGAATAGGAAGTATTGTGTGTGTTAAAAAAGAGAAGTGGAAGAAATAATAATCTGCCGTGAGCAAGGACTAATACTGTGATATTAGAATGACTTGACCGATGCTGTGTTAACTCCCCTACTGCGGCAGCCATCTTTTCGACCCCATCATGGGGTATATATGTGCAGTCATAAGTAGGAGCGTTAACCAGCGCCGGTAGGGAGACATGACGGTGACCAATTACAGTGGCTAGCTCGCAATGAAAATAATAGTCACGTAATGCCAACAAGCAGAAATAGAGTGCTTTCACACTCGCCGTCATGGCTACTGGCGGCGCTGACTGACGCCCTCAAGTTTGAATGCAGAAATATACCCTTCAGAGAGTCGGCGCGTGAATAAAAGGTTGCAGGTTCGGTCTTTGTGCACGGCAACTAATTAATCTGTCCATTTTCAGGCAGCACCTTTGCCTATTTTAACCTTGTCATGTGTCTGGCGTAACCAGCAGTATCTGACGAGCTGTGGCGGCTCATGCTCATCAGACAGACAGACAGACAGACAGACAGACAGACAGACAGACAGACAGACAGACAGACAGACAGACAGACAGACAGACAGACAGACAGACAGACAGACAGACAGACAGACAGACAGACAGACAGACAGATGTTACCCCCAATTATCATCATTCACTCTGTGGGTATGTGATTTTTTTCTTCACATTTACAATGTATTTTCTAGTAATAACGTTCCATATACTATTCATGGCCTTATAGGGTGTTAATTTTCAATAATATTGTGTCTAACAAAAGAAAAAAGTTCTGAAGTTTTGTACTTCAATGTTATCATATATTGGACAGTGTATGCGTACACCGGTCACCGATAGGCCACTGAGATTAAGCTCGCTACTTTGTCGACACTTTAGGGAGAGCCTGGGGTGCCAGGTCCAGCGGGTGTAACCGGAGCACCAGGAGTGCAAGGAGACCGGGGACTAACGGGACCACCGGGACCACCGGGATTTCCTGGACCTACGGTAGGTTCACTAATACGCGGAACAACTGTATCTATGCTACCTGCAATAAAATACGCCACCCTTGCTTCACGCGCAATCTTATATGTAAAGGGATAATCCGGCTTGAAATATAGTATTTGTTGAAGATTGTAAACTTGAAAAACAATTATCCAGGATGCTAATGTACCGTTACCAGAAAGATACAGTGGGGTTCTATACGCCACCAATACTCACCTTCTTGCGTGAATACGCCAGGCGAAGCGCATGCAGGTGTCTTCGTACACCATTCTTTCGGTGAAGCCATCTTTCAGTACAGGTAAATTTAAGGTAAACCCGGACGTTTTCACTGAATAATCGCGTACCAGACGTTAGACTCGGAAACGCCTTTGCATGGCGCAATAGTGAAAACAGCTGATCACTTGCATATGCGTCTGCGCTGGTTGAAGCGTTTTCAACATTTTTTTCATAACCACTCTGCGACAAACCGTGCCCTGACAAACAAGACAGCCTGTAAATATAACAATAAACGACCATCGTGCAAACATAGCGAACGAAGTCACGAAAACTCATATCCAGCATTTAAACATCGCGTCATATGACGTTACTGCGACAAGATCTCACGTAAAATCATCGTTTAGGTGAAAGGTGTGCCCATCACAGAGGCATTCCCAAATGAAATGCGGTTCTGGAGGCAATGCAAAACCGCGTGAGGTACTGAAAGATTCCCGTATATATATATATATATATATATATATATATATATATATATATATATACATATATATATATATATATATATATTATTGTTACTGTTAAAGTCTAAGGGTGTTTATAGCAGGGGGCGAGGTTGATGGTGCAGTAATAAGGGTGTCGGTGTCTGCAACAAATCACGTCTTCCTCGTCTTCTCCTCTCTCGGCTCATACCCGTTGCATTTCCCGGCTCCCAGACGAAGTCCACTGGGCGAGAATGAATCACTCAATGTTTAGGGTGAAAGCGTTTAAGACGAGCGACATGTACCAGCTGGGTCCGGTTTGACCGACGGCCAGCTGATGTCAGCCATACTACCACGTATGGCAAATCGCTTAAGTGACCAACAATGTGGAATGGGCCACTGTACTGGGGTAAAAACTTCTCGCATAGGCCCCGTTTACGTTGTGGCGTCCACAACCACACGAAGTCTTCTTTGCAGTATGCGACAGACTGATGGCGGCTTTCATAGCTTTCCTTCGATCGCTCTTGTGAAGCCACAGTAGGAAGATGAGCAATGCGCCGGGCTTCTTTAGCTAGGCAGAGTGTTTTGGAGACACAGTATTCGCTATGGAGGTCAGATGGTTGAATAATGCCGATGCAGCTTAACGCTTAACGTTTGTAAAGGAGGTAAAAAGGACCGTAATTGGTTGTCTCATGTTTGGCCGTGTTATACGCACATTTAATGAAGGGGAGAACGTCATCTCAGTCCTTGTGGTCAGATGACACGCACATGGCCAACATGTTAGTTCGAGTTCTGTTCGTACGTTCTACCGGCGGGACTGCAAATTGCACAAATGACCCAGTTCTTCAACAGCGTCCCCAGTGAACTGATGACCACAATAACTAATTATCACTCTGGGAGGGCCATGCTGAAGAACGATGAATCTAAGCAAAAAACTTGTCCACGCAAGACGCTGTCGAGGATTGTATCGCCGCAATTTCTGCGTAACAAGCCAGATGGTCGACGCATACTATCACCCAACGATTGTTGCTAGACGAGCGTAGAAATGGGCTGAAAAGACCAATACCAGCTCGATGCAATGGTAGATGAGGAGATGGCAGTGAATGGAGAAAACCTGGTGGAGGAGTTGAAGGCCGCTTGTAGCGTTGGCATTGTTCGCCCCTTGCGACATAGTGCTTGACTGTGTCCCGCATTCTGAGCCAGTAAAAGTACTCTTGTGTCCTATTCAAAGTTGTGATGAACCCCAGCATTGATGACGAACGTTCTGACTAACCCCAGGCTTTCACTATACCGAATTGTAGGCTCTATGGTAATACTAGAAGGAAGCGTGCGCCTTTAGCCGAATAATTTGGCTTGTATAGAAGGCCGCCACGGCCACAAAAGCGGCCAGTTTCTCGAGGCCGCGATGCCGCGACAAGTAATGGCTCCAAGCTAAAATCAGCCTCTTGTTCGTTTTTGAAAGTACTTAAACCTGGAATGTGGAAGAAATGGAGGCAAAACAGTCGTCAATGCTGTCTTCTTCACATTTATTCATCTTTAGGGGAAGGTGGGATAGACAGTCGGCATCTGCGTGGTGGCGTCCAGGCTTGAACGAGATGACAAAGTCGTACTCCTGATGTCGAATAGCCCAACGCGCCAGTCGGCCAGTCGGGTCACGAATATTCACCAGCTAGCATAATGCGCGATGGTCGGTAATGATAGTGAACCGACGTTGATAAATATAAGGTCGAAATTTGTGTACCGCAAAAACAGCTGCCAAGCATTCTAGTTCTGTTGCGGTATAGCTGCGTTTAGCTTTGTTGAAAGAGCGACTGGCATAAGCCACTATGTGCTCAGCTTCTTGATCACGTTGCACAAGTACAGCACCTATGCCGATGCCACTAGCACCAGCATGCACTTCCGTAGGCAAGGGTGCATCGAAGTGACGCAGTAAGGGCCCCAACGTTAGTAGAAACTTAAACTGGCCGAACGAATTATCGCAAGCTGAAATTCAGTTTAAAGAAACGTCCTTTTGAAGAAGACAAGTTATTGGATGCACCACGTCGGTGAACCTCGGAACGAAATGACGAAAATATGAGCATAGGCCCAAGAAGCTCTCCATTCCTGCACCAATTGCGGTGGTTCGAAAGAGCTGACGGCTTCAATTTTCCGTGGGTGTGGCCTTACTCCATTTTAGTGAACAAGATGTGCAAGTACTAAAGTCTCCGTTTCACCAAAACGACATTTCTTAGTGTTTAGGATCGAGCTGGCCTATTGTATGTAATGCAAAACAAGACTGAGACGTCTGTTCAGCTCATTCAGTTTGCTGCTGAAAATCACGACGTCATCTTGGTAGCACAAACGAATTTCCCATTCAAATCCTCGAACTATTATGTCCATAACTCGTTCGATTGTTGCCTAAGCATTACAAAGACCGAATGGCAAAACATTAAATTCATAAAGGCCGCAAGGTGTCACAAAGGCCGTTTTCTCTTTGTTGTTTTGGTGCATGTGTATTTGCCAATACCCTGATCGCAAATTCATTGACGAAAAGTAGGCAGCAGAATGCAGGAAATCAATGAACTCATCAATTCTAGGAAGCGGATACACAACTTTTTTGGTGACCGTATTTAGTTTTCTATAGTCGACGCAAAAGCCTCATAATCCATCCTTCTTCCAAAGTTCACAGGCGCTGCCCATGGACTAGATGACTCTTGTACAACACCTTTTCGCAACATATCGGTGACCTGTTCAGCTATCACTACCCTCTCTGTGGACGACACGCGGTAAGGTTTTTCACGAACGGGGTGTGCAGGTCCAGTGTCGATTCTGTGATGAGCACAAGAACGCGGTAGCGAAGTCTTCGTGTCACCTTGTGTGAAATCGAACATCGAAAGATGTGCCATAAGGACTTGTGCAAGCGCGTGGCGTTCATGTGAGGGTAGCGACTTGCTGGTCATTCTTAATATCTGTTTTTCAGAAATGCTTCTCTGGGGGTCGCTTGTTTCAGACCGCTGCTCTTTGCTTAAAACGGTGATAGTGCCATACGTCATTTGTCAAACTCGGCAAGCTTAATATTACGCGGAAGAACAGCAGGCACCGAAGAACAATTGAAAGACCATAAGCTTGAGGCGGCGTTCTCAACTGTTACGAGAGAACGAGGCACAAGTACATTTATCTTCACGCAACCCGTCGCAAGTGGTTGAACTAGCGCGTCAAACGATGAAAGTTCGGCAACAGCAAGATTAACAGGAACTACCACAACGCTAAAAAAGAATCGTTCGACATGACGAAACAGTTTTTCCCATGTAACAATGTCTTTGCAAGCGTAGATAAAAGCGCAATTTTCACCGTAATTTCGCCTGTGCCACAATTAACGGAAGCACCACAATCCTGAAGAAAGTCGATCCTGAGAATCGCATCATGAGGGCGCCGTGGTAATGCCAAAAGTTCCGTGACGAGATATTCAGCGCCAAACAAAACACTCTCAACACAAATACCTAGAGGAACGAGGCACTCTCCGCTGACCCCACGAAACGTCACGCCACCATTCCACGGGAACATAATTTTTCGACCAAGCCTTTCCTTCATTGTGGCACTCATGACGGAAACCGTACCGTAGCATTAGTATCTTCTAACGCAGTTGCAGGCACACTATATATATATATATATATATATATATATATATATATATATATATATATATATATATATATATATATATATATATATATATATATATATATATAACTCAAGCCCTGATGAAGGGAGGACCCCTCCCGAAACTGTTGGGAAATAAATATATTTATCCTTGTTGACACGCTCCCGTTGTGCCGTATCCCATAACTTCGCACTATATATATATATATATATATATATATATATATATATATATATATATATATATATATATATATATATGCAGGCATGGTGGTTGAGTGGCCGTAGCGTTGCATATAGACAAGTAGATCCTCCGTGGGCGGTCACAACGTGGTTTATTTCGACGTTTCGGCCTAGAGTCTGGCCTTCATCAGGATCCTGATGAAGGCCAGACTCTAGGCCGAAACGTCGAAATAAACCACGTTGTGACCACTCGCGGAGAATCTACGTAAATATATATATATATATATATATATATATATATATATATATATATATATATATATATATATATATATATATATATATATTGTGGCAAAGCCAACGAACAGTGGGTCGTCCTCTCCAGTGCCTTCTAGTGGGTCGCCCTTTTGATAAGAAGAAGAGCAGCTCGTGCAAAGAATCGTTCCCCGCATTGACTGTCGCTGTTGTGGATCATCTACGAGTGTC